TTTAGACAAACAAGTGTTTCCTCCAAAAACCATGTTATCCCTCCACACTTGCATATCTTTTAGGACTACATACCTTGGACATCGGACATGCAAACAAAGGCAGGTTGTCTCCTAAGTTGACCATCTATAAAAACAAAAGCAGGGGTACTAATATGGAAAAGGGTGGAAGAGAGGGAATTCCTTCTTTTACTGTGCTGCCTGCCCATCTAAGACCACAGTGCTTTTCTTTTCCATTATATTATAAAACTATTTAAAAGATATATAAAACATCTTCTTTACTTTAATACTACATGTTAACTTGTTAACTTACTGTTGATAGCTATATCCCAAACATCTTTACACCATTCATTTAACTGAAAAATCATACTTTTTCTCCAATTCCTAACTACATTAATCTTGCAGCTGTTAATAAATTTGAAATTTATCTTTAGTTGTTCAATTACATTGTTTCTTATCATTGTCTCTGAATTTAACATATTCCATTTATTTCCTTGAATGCCAATTGTCAAATGTCAATATATTCTCACATTCCCACACACATGAAAATAAGTAGCTATTTTCTTAAATCCCCTCCAAAATAACTTGGGATAATTAGCATCTGCAGTAGGACACCTATATGCATTGGTGATTGGTTCCAAGCTGTGGACAATAGTGAACGTGTGTGGGAATGTGAGAAGCGATCACAAAACGAAGTTTTGAATGGGGGAATTTCGCTGCTTGATGATCGGTTCCCTGTTTCGGGAACCGATTTTTGCTTCCCAACGATCAAAACAGCTAATCGTCGGGTTTTCAAAATGGCCACCGGGTGCTCAAAATGGCTCCCTGCTGTGTTTAGGAGCCATTTTTCACTGCACAGGCACCCAAAAATGGCCGCCCCTATAGAGGATCTTCGCTGGCCGGTGAGTTCTTAGCCGATTGGAACGCATTAAACAGGTTTTAATGCATTTCAATGGCTTTTTTATTTTCGGTTTATGACGTTTTCATTCTACAGTAATTTCGCTGGAACGAATTAACGTCGTAATGCGAGGCACCACTGCATGTGTATGTGTTTGTGTGTGCATATATATATAAATATACATACATACATACACACACACACATATACAGTGGTGCCCCGCATAATGGGCGCCCCATTTTAACGATGAATCCACATAGCGATGGCTTTTTTGCGATCGCAAAAGTGATCACATTGCAATGTTTTAGATAGTAAAACATTGCTTTGCGATGATTGGTAAGCTGTTTTGCTTACCGATTTTCGCATAGCGATGTTTTTGGAAGAGCTGGTTGGCGGTTCCAAAATGGCTGCCAGGTAATTAAAATGGCTGCCCGCTGTGTTTTCGCGCCCATTCCTCGCTTACCGGGCAGCAAAAATGGCGGCCGTATGGAGGATTTTCGCGTAACGGTGAGTTTACAGCCCATTGGAACGCATTAAACGTGTTTTAATGCATTCCTATGGGCTTTTTTGTTCCGTATAGCGATGAATCCACATAGCGACGATTTTTCCAGAACGGATTATCATCGCTATGCAGGGCACCACTGTATATAGGAAATTTATATAGGGATTTCCAACACTTTTTTACAATAGTCTTTATTATGTCATATAAAAAGAATGTTCTCAGAGTTCCAATGTAATTCTTGTGATTCCATATTCAACAATATTAATTCATTGGACTATGATATAAAGTGTATGTCTTAACTGACTCGCTATATAGTAAAGCATTAAATTTAGGAAGTTACAACCCTCCCTACTTAACTCCATTACAGAATTTATCATATTTTTCCAATATTTTAACTCTTCTTCAGTTATCTTTATTAATAACATCATGCATTAAACAATTATCTTAAAGTCTTCATTTTACATACTGTATTGCTATTCAACCAAAGCATAAAAGTCCAATTTCCCAAAAATCATTGAACTTTTTATTAGTACTTTCTTTTTTTAAAATACTCCTTTAATCTTAAAAAATTATTGGAACATTTATACCTACATAATTAACAGATGTTCAAATATTAGTATGAAATTGTTTCTAGTTATCTTTTTCCATCCTTATTGTAATTAATCTCTGATTTCGTCCAATTTATCTGTAATCCTGTTATCTTGCCAAATACTTTTAAAGCTGATTTTACCCTGTCTGTAAACATTAATGGGTTTTCTATTGTTAATAATATATCATCAGCAATAAACTAATTTTAAATTGGTCTTTAGTGGTTTAGGTATCTGGTGCAGAACCAGAGGTTGAGAGTTCAATTTCCCACTGTGCATCCCAGAGAAGACAGCCTGTGTGGTATTGGGTAAACTGCACAGTGCCAGAGTGCCTGCAGAAGAAGGGAATTGTAAACCAATTCTGAGTATTCTCTACCTCAAAAATCCTGAAAAATTGTCACCATATATTAGAATTGACTTCAGGGTAAAATACAATACAGTAGTAGTAGTAGTAGTAGTAGTAGTAGTAGTAGTAGTAGTAGTACCACCACCACCTATGCCATAAATTACTCTTACCTAATGGCATTTAGCAATACAGTGGTGCCTCGCATAACGAGTGCACCATTTAACGATGAATCTGCATAGCGATGCGGATTTTGCGATCGCTAATGCGATCGCATACCAATGTTTTAATAGGGTGAAAATCGCTTTGCGATGATCGCTAGGCATTTCGCTTACCGATCTTCGTATTGCAATGGGGGAACAGCTGTTCAGCGGTTCCAAAATGGCTGCTGGAACATCCAAAATGGCCACCGGAACACCCAAAATGGCCACTGTAACACCCAAAATAGCCGCGGCTGGATGGGGAAACATCGCAGAATGGTGAGTTTGGGGCCCATTTGGAACTTCATTTAATGCATTCCAATGGGCTTTTCCGTTCCATTTAGCGATGTTTCCCCATAGCGAAGGTTAATCCGGAACGGATTAACCTCGCTATGCGGGGCACCACTGTAGTTCTATAACTCTTAACAAGTACACTCCATTTGTATCTTTTAATTTCACCAGTGGGGACAGAGTGAAGTTCCACAAGTTACCATGAATGTTACAGGAGGTTGCTCAAGTGACAGTTAAAAACGACCAACCTAGGTCCTGTCTGACAGACATTCAACGGCTGCAAGAAGTGGAGGCAAATAAAAGTTCAGAAATTACTATTTACCACTCAGATGCATTCTTTTCATGGTCTAGAGGGGCGGGGTAAAAATCAAATAAATAAATAAATAAATAAATTCTCTTTTATTGGCCATTAGAGGCACTGATCTTTAAGGCTAAAAGCAGACAGAGCCAGATACGCAGCCCAAAATATTACTAGCATGGTAATCTGTACCAACCAAAGGAGAAACATAAATGAAGAGTTAATCCCTGTTCTCAGCCCTCTGCTCGGCTGGAGACCAAAGCTGCTGCCTGTTGAGTTTCATTTTCAAATTCTGAGTATTAAAGCCATGCTACAGGATCAGGAACAAAACCAACCTGGTACTAATTATTTGTATAGCTGCAATAAAGATTGGTTTTTTGCAATATTAATATATGGCATGGTATACACTGTGCATGCTGAAGAATCCTGGTGCAATCCTCTGGCACCTCCGGGTAGGAAAGACACCAGATTAAAACTTTGGAGGGCTGCGGCCAATCATATAGACAATAATGAGTTAGATGCATCTGACCTGGGTATCAAGCAGCTTTTCTATATTCCTTACCTTCCTGTTCAGCACACTGTATCAAGACTGAACTTTCATAGTACATGTTTTCCATTTCAGTATAGATCAGTTTAAAAAGATTCTTTTCTTGCAATTTTGAAAGCCAACTAATAATAGAAAAGTACAGTCACAGCAGTTGAATTTCAGCAGTCAACTAAGCTTCTGTATTGACAAAAAGAGTAGCCTGGTGTGCTACAGACCAATTTAAGGAATTCTTAAAAGAACAATTCTCTGAATGGATTGAAACTGGGCACACAGTTTACAAGGAAAGTAAGTTTGTTTTCCCAGGATCAGGGTAGTTGTCCCCAAAGCGGCAAAGCCAATCAAGAGTTTTGTCACATCTTAAAAACTAACATGTTTCATTTGTCATTATGTTTCATGGACTGGTGTCTGCTTCTTCACATAAAGGCTGCTGATCTTTCAGATACCACAATGCTCTTGTTTTCACTGCAACACATTAACATGGCTATGTCCTGGACATTTTCACAAAAACACATGCATTAATTTCTCATAGTAAAAAGGACCACATTCTTGCATGAAAGCTACTCGCTTACCCTTTTGCACCATTTCATATGGTTTCTTCATCTGTATGACAAAATATGGTTTCTTCATCTGCGGACAAAAAAGCTCTACAGAGAACCATTAAAATTGCCCAGAATATCATCGGGCTCCAGCTACCAACCTCACATCCCGCTGTCTAAGGATGTCACACAGCATCCTGAGAGACTCTTCCCATCCTGCTTATAACTTTTTTGAACCATTACCATCTGGCAGAAGATATAGAACAATTAAGACTCGGACCACACGTTTTCTCAGTAGTTTTTATCCCAGAGCTATAATTGCAATTAATAATGAGCTTAAAGACCACCAGTAGTGAATAATTAGTTGGACTGTGTTACTGGGCCTGCAGTGTAGATGTTTGTATTTTTAGTGGGGGATTTTTAGTGGGTGGGGAGTGTTTGGGGAATTTTATGTGTGTGCATGTGTCTGGTCTCTGGGTGTCTGTGAATTTCGTTGTATGGGTATACTGTGTATATACTTACAATGACAATAAATTATTATTATTATTATTTACCAAACTGTACAGAAACATGCTGATTTCTGTTATAACAATAGCCAGGGGAAATAAGATGGAAGTTTGTCTCAACTGTGGAAGTTCTCCAGTCGTCCAGCTAGAATTTCTTGCCTTAGCTTCTGAAAGATCCCGAAGCCAAAGAATCTAGTTGATTTCTGCAATGTTGGGATGTGTATGTTAAAACAAAATTCAGAAGTGGCATATCGCTGCATGTCTTTCAAAACCAGTCACTCACACCAGACCCATATAACGGTATGTGCATCATCCTTTTATTTCATAGTCAACAATGTTGTTTCATAGGGTAGAATCAATAAATAATGTTCACTCAATAAATGTAAAAACCCTCTCTTTGGCATTGGACCATACTCTTCAGGTCAAACTCAAGGTTATGTAGCACAGTTTCTTATGAAATCCTTCTTCAGTACAATATAAGGGTGCAACTTGTAGTAAAAATTACAAGGAATTCCCTCAAATTTAAACAAAACCTTTCTACAGATTCTGCACTGCAATTTGGACATAACTATGGGGAAAAGGTGGCAAAGAGGAAATGTATCCTAGGCTTGCAAAGCATGTGCGCTCTTCTGCATTTCTTTGTAAGAAACAAACAGTCCAGCCTTTTCACTCAAGAACATTAGGACTGCACTGTCAGGAATCATTTAAAAAGCAAACAACGGTTTCACAAACAATGTAAGCACCCCTTACTCTATGCTCCCAATTTTAGCTTTTGCTTCTAAGTAACATATAGACCAAAAACCTAACATGGTTGCACAATGCTTCAGTAATAAACAGCACATCTTAAAAGAGATTAAATAAAAACATTACAGATTATTTTTAAATGTTACCAGTAGTCTAAGTTAAATTAGGATTTATTTGGAGATGATTTTTTCAAACAAACATTTTAAGCCAGTGGATTTGACATGATCATCTAGCAGAACCCTTCAAAGCTTTAAAAAAACACCAAGTCCAAATCAAGTTTTTTAAAAAGCAATATTCAGTGCTGTAAATAAACTGGAATGTTCAGATGTAGTGCTAAAATATGGTCTAGTAAGACCTCTCATCGTAACTATGTAATATGGTAGCACTAAATTTTAAATGTTCATTTTGATTCTTCAGATAAGTGCAGTTATGCAGACATACTGTGAAGATCCACAAGTAGTCCATGAGACAATGTTTTGAAAAACTGAAGGTATGAAATTGAAGTCAGCTAGTGTTTACCTTCCAACATTTTTCATTTTTTCCTTCAAAATATTTTTTAAAAAATCACTGAAATCAATTTGAAATATGAAAATTAATTCAATTACACACACAAAAGTTGGCTCCAGTAAATGAAATGCCCAGGCTCAATTTCATCAGTGATTTTTTTCCCATTTCCAGTGCAAAACCAGTAACAATAATATGTAAACTGGATTATTTTAAAGAACTCGTTATCTTAGTTAAACTTTCCCCCCTAAAATGCAAGTCATTGCATATACACATACATTTAATATTCAGAGTGTACTTCAGTGCTTATCCATGAGTGGCTTCATACAGCGAGCCCAGTCCAAAACACAGATCACAGTACATCAATTTCTGAGTGTTAAATCACCATAATCTCTAGGTATCCATCTGCAAGACCTTATGTTACTTTACGGTGTTCTAAAGATATCTGCAGTCAGAATTTCCAATTATTATCTTTTTTTTCCTCCACCATCTTCAAACTCGTACTCATCTAAATTATGGTCTGGATCAACTCTTTGCTGATATAGCCAATTATGATTTCTGTGCCTGATTGTCCACATTGCAAAGTGAATTTTGATGCAATGAAGAACCAAAGACAATTTATATTCATGTATTGTTCCTAGCAAACATACGGTCCCCTCTTAGGGTGAGGTGTTGAAGCTGATACTGAAGCACTTCTGTATCTGCTGGTTCCTTGATGTTCATTCTGTCTAAATTGAGGTAGTCCAAGGATTTAGAGTGAGACCTTTTGCCTTTGAAAAGGCAAAGAGGCAAAGGACCATGAAAAGCCTTGTAAGGTTCATAAGGTAGTGGCTTGGTGCATTTATCCCCTGAGCTGGGCATCCGGCGCCTTCTACGGCCATTGATAGCTGGGATCTCATAAGGCTGGTAATAGCGGCTTCTGGCTTTACATACCCGGGAGGAACGGGAGAGTCCCGAATCAAGCTGTTTGGAGCGCAAGGTAGGCACCACTGCTTCTACTTTATGCTCTTCACCTACAGTGCACGTTTGGGCTAATTTCAGAAGCTCCTCTCCAGTTGTAAAGCCAACCAAGTAGTTAGAATCCATGTGAAGGATCTGGTAGCCTGAAACCGTTTGGCGCATTGGTGAACATGGAGTGCTGGAGCAGCGAGGCTTCTCCGAGTCTGCCTTGCTCGCGGTGCTCACCTCAGTGATAGGCAAGGGAAGAGCAGCTAGAATAGACCTGGACTCTCCATTAATGTCAACTTCCATTTTAAATATGAATCAGCTAGCCTGCAATTTAAAAACAAAACAAAAACAGTTTTAGTAGCATCATGAAGTACAAGGAAGAGACGCAGAACAATTTTGCTTGGACTGTGACCACAAGTGAATCTAAGCATTTGGGATTCCACACCTCTTTTGACAGCTCCTTTTATGCTCAGAGTAAGCCTAGGTGTCAGTGAGGAGAGAACTGCAGTCCCACCTCTGCCAGGAACCTGCTGTGTGGCCTTGAATAAGCTGATTATCTCCTGGGCTCAGTTCCCTACCTCTGCCCATGAAAAGAAACCAACATAGGTTTCTTTCTAGAGCAGTGAATGTAGAGGTAAACACAATAACCATTACACAGCACTGCTGAAAAGCAAACATTAAAGAATTGTAAAGTGAACCTCATCCCCAATATACTATTTTACCTCACCAATTAACCCCAAGGGAAGTTTTCCGCCTAAACTAACTAAGAATGACTGAAAGATGTTGATGTAAGGAATGGTTGGAAAGCCTGATGGTTTTCTTTGCACACAAACAATGTAAAAAAGAGGAGGAGAGATGGAAAAGCCAGTTTGTCATAAACCACTTGGACTTATTTTCAGTGGGTTTCAGTGGAAAGAGCTTCCTCTGAAGCCAATCTTATCTTCTACATCTCTAGCTTAAGCTCCACTGGAACAAGCACAATTTTTATTTAAATTCTAGATAATGTCTAATTATCTCCAGTAAAGATTTTTATTTTAGCAGAAACCCAGTGTTTCTATACCCTTCAATAGACCATGACATATGACCCTTTCAATATTTGGGTCAGAGTGATGCAAAGGCCTATTTCTACCATTAAATGCCAAGGCAACTGCCTGACCATGAGAGAACCAGAAATACTGATTAAAACCAACTGCATTCTGTCATGCCAAAAAGATCAGATGACTGGAACAACATTGTGAGTTTCACGCTTTCAGTCAACCCTACTAGTCCCAAAACCACCCCACAAAGAAAAATGTCTTTTGAACATTTTTCGATTATTTTGCATCTCTCCCTCTTACACCTACACAACCACATACTCTCTCTCTTCCATAAAGTCTACATTTATAACTTGTTCTTCCATTTTACCCCATTGGATATTCAGAATGTTCAAATTTCTGTGAGTATTGAAATGACTCCCCACTACCAAACTTATATTTGGGGTTCAACATGCTTAAAAAAAGACATAAAATCCCTCTTTACAATACTGACACATACAACTTCTTTTATAATTTTAAAAGCAATTTAAAAACTGAAATCCTGCATGTCCTGTGTAATATGTAAAGCTTTTTAACCATTTGCTCTTTTCTTGTACTTTAGACAAAAAGACTCTGATCTCCCATCTGAGCCTGCCCAGATATTAACATTTTTGGTAGAGGCTTTTCTCTTGATTCCACAACCACCACAGACATGTTTGGAGGAGACATAAGACAGTATCTTCTCTGTGGCTGATCCCAGGCACTGTCAAGAGAGGCTCAGCTGGCTCTGTCATCCTTCCTCTACCAAGTAAAAAGACAGGGCTCTGGTGTCTAAATGCACTGCTGTACAAGTAGTTTGAAGTGGTGATGGTTTTAACATTTGTACACACTTCACATCTAAACCAGTATTAATTAAAGGCTTACAACAACATAGAAAAGGATTGCCAAAACTGAAAGGCAAACCTTCTAAAATGTGGCACAATTAACCTATCGATAAGAAAAGGTACTGTAATAATTGCAGTTTTTGCATGTGTGCTTTATACCCTGTTTCCCCAAAAATAAGACAGGGTCTTATATTAATTTTTGCTCCAAAAATGCATTAGGTCTTATTTTCAGGGGACGTCTTATTTTTTTTTAAAGTACGGCAATCTACATTTATTCAAATACAGTCCTGTCATCTTCTTCTGGTTGCTGCACAATGGTGGAGGCCGGGGTTTCACTCAACTAGGGCTTATTTTTGGCGAAGGCTTATATTACGAGCATCCTGAAAAATCATTCTAGGGCTTATTTTCAGGTTAGGTCTTATTTTCAGGGAAACAGGGTAGTACGGAAATAGCATATATGGAGCTGAAACCCTCAACTAAAATGCTTGGGGTAAGGGTCACTAAAGCTATAGGTGGTTGAACTCATTTTCCAGATTCTGGGCGGTTCTGTCATCCTCTAATGAAAAGTTCTCATTTTAACTTAAACAGTCAGCTCTTCATATGGAAGTCAGGATCTTACAGTTCCTCTTCCCCTCTACCCCACTGCAATCTCAGATGTCAGGGAGAATTATTTGATTATAACAATTAGTGCAGCGCATCTGGAGAACAAAAGCATAAATACAGGCATTCTGAGGCCTTGGGCTTTTTTTGGGAAACACTTTATGAGGGTCTCTTTTTTTTAGTCCAAGCTGATGAGGCATAAACAAGTTCAAGGGCAGGAGAATATGGCAGGATTTTGTTTCACACTGCAATTATATGGGTAACTGCAACTACATTTGCATTGGAAGTAACAATCTCTTTACAAATTGCCACACTTCCTACACAGAGAGCACTTTTATAAAGCAAACCACATGGAATTTGTGTGTGTACACTGGCATGTATGAAATGTTGCATCCAATTTCTTATTCAGAAATTATATGTCACAAATAGCTTCATTTATGAAGCAGCCCTTAGGCATACATGAGGATATATTTTGTGGAATACTGAAGTCTGCCTCAGGAAATGGATGGGTTAAGAATACAATTTAAAAATGTTAAAAGTAAATTGTATTTATATTTTAATAAGAATTTAAAAAGAAGTCGGTCCAAAATCCTACAGAAAGGTTGCTGACTGGCACAAGTTATAGGTAACTCCCTTATTACAAGAGCTTCATTGGCTGCCAGTCAGTTTCCAGACACAGTTCAAAATGCTGGATATTTATTTAGTATTTTTAAAACTGTTGATTCTTTCTTAATTTTAGTTGTGTGCCACCTTGATTCCCCTATGGGGAGAAAGGCAGCATATAACCAACCAACCAACCAACGTCCAATTCTATATGCATATTTACCTATCGCAAGCCTCAGAAGTATCACCTTATCACAGTGATACCTACTTCTGAGCACATATGTCAGGCATACAAAAATAGTAGTAAAATATGACTTCATTGACTATAGTAAACATTTTCTTTGTATTGACACCACAGAACTGAATATGATACTGTTCGATGTTTGAAACCAATCTTTAATCAAGAGCTTAAAAGCTATGGTAACTTTATGTGCTTCATATAAAGTAGTCCCAGAGAATCTAATTTTACATCTATCACTGTAAAAGGCACTAGGGGATTGGCAATGCTATTAGGGGATTGTGTTGTGTTTTTTTTAAAAGACAAATCATCTCAAGCCTCATTAGCTTTTGCAGCATTAACCATAGGAAGCAAACTGACAGTTGAAGTTCAGCAAGTAGACTCAAAAGAATAGACCTAAAATTATCTGGCATATCAACACTAAGGTGAGGCATGCAGATTTTAAGTATCCTGAATGATTTGAAACAAATGTACACAAAGAAATCATGCCAAAGTAGGAAGACAAAATCTCAGTGCAAAGCAGTATGTCTAGATACCTGGGACTGGACACACAAAGAGTAACAACTGTATTGTACGCATTGAAAATAATTATTTTTAAAAACCAGTACTCAAAACCCAAACTAGACAAAATGCAATTCAAGTAATCAGCCATTATGTAAACCTTTTTTGAAAAATAAACTGGAGACAAGGGCCCTGCATTTGGGATCGTGGTGCAGGGGGCACACAGGCTTTTAATTTTTGCCACCATTATGGATCCCTTCCGATTCAACACACTAGGGTCAGAATATTAACTAGCCAAGGTAACTGAGAGCCACCTGAAGTTGCACTGAATCTAAACTTCTGCCAATCTAAGAAAGTTGGGAATTATTTATGACTACACGGATCTTGGCCTAAAATAAATTTAGATCTGGTATAGTTTAACTTTTCTCTTCCTCTTTCCCTCCTCTGCCTCTTTTTTTGGCTCTTCTGCTGGCAGATGAGGCTCCTGCCCATTCCAAACTCTACAACTAGAACATCTTTGATGTTAAGATTGCATTGCATGCCTCTTATCTGCACCGTATGCAAGGTTCTTTCTGAATCAAGATCACAGTGGTGACCAGAGGATTAGAAGCCTCCTACTCACCCCTCATATCTTGACTTGGATCAACATCCTCATGCCTAATATTTACTTTTTAAAAGACGATCATACAATTGATGCCTGTGCAGATGAGAACTTGTCTTGCTTTCTCCCAAGACAGAATAAAATTGAAGAGGCAACAATATTTACTGTGAATCTTACAACAGTTTCACAGTGTCAATCTGAACATGCAGAAGAAATACTGCCTTTCAAGAGGTTAGGTTACAGGTGGGCTAGACGTCCCTTCTTCAACCTGATGCATTACAGACTACTGTATTGCACTCAGCCAATCTGGCCACTATTCTGGTTACTGGTTAACTTAGGAACGATGGGTTTTTTAGACCAACACCTCTGTAGGGCATCAGGTTGAGGAAAACTGGATTAGACCATGACATGAATGCAGAAAAGAAAGAAAAAAACAATCTCTGGAACCAGTGGCATCATAAACATTTCATATGATAAGGAAGATTGCTTTAAACTAATGTGGCAGATCAAGAGTAGTAAGTTAGTTAAACATTCTCAAAATCTGAAGGTTTCGGTCATGTTTGCTGGTGCAGAAAAAAAATCCATCATCTTGACACTGACAGTTCTGGGGTGTGTGTACGTTTTCATCAACTACAATACACTGGATCAGCATGTTTATTGCCAAGTTTGGTCCCTCTATTTATATCCTTTGTGTGTTATGTTGCAGCTAACAGGAACACTGTTTTAGGCTGCCTGGAAAAAAAAAACCAGACCGTTCATCCACTGTATATGGGAGAAGATGGGACATCTCAACCTCTAAATGTTAAACCAGAAGAGGCTAAACTAAACCTATGGAGAATAAAAACAATACACCTTGCTGAACAGATGGATGCCAAAGAGTGTCT